GCTTGTCATCATTAACAAACCACTCTTTATACATTTTTGTATGAGTTTTGGATATTATTATATTTTACAGACGTTGAGGATAGTTTGCTCAAAATGTGACCTCTCACTGCTGTTTAACATGATGCAACACTGCAGACCTAATGGACTCAGTGATTAGTTCATCAACACATACAGTGAGCGCCAAGTGTTTAGATACCTGATTTCTCATGCAAAAATTAAAAAAAGGCTAAAATCTTCCCTAAAAATATGAACATGACATTCGGCTGCATTCTCTCAAATGTAAGATCTAAAAACAGCACATATTTTGACATAAATCAAGGCCATGGGGAGGTTTTAATTGATTTGCTGCAGGCTTTGCATCAGGTTGTCCGCGGAGTTACAGCCCCCCAACTTCTGCAAATATATATGATAAAAAAGGATGACAAAATGCAGATTTATACGAAAAAGAGAAGAAGTTTTAAAGGCATTTTTTTATCCAGATGTCTCACATTTTCTTCAACGTGAAATTTGCACTTATTCTGCGTTCACATCGGACGCGATACGAATATTCGCTTCTCTCTAATCGCTCGAGTTTCACCGCGACTGCCAGCTGTGTTTACTCGCGTCATTCAAACAAGACGCGCTGGGAGCTACAACTACAACAAGATGAACATATTTGACCGTGATTTAATTGTAATACACGTTTCAAAATGATGCCGAAGTAACAACATACTGATACCGGTTAGTAAAAACCATGAGTTAATGTTTTGAGTCTGCAGACAGACGGCAGAGAAAAACCCTTTTAAAATGAGTGTTTTCTAAATGGAGCTTGGCTAAACTAACGCAGTATATGCTCCGACCGTCCACACTCACAACAACGGCCTCCAGACATAAATAAACCAGCGACTGTATTCTCCATGACACAGGCAGTCTGTGGTTTGTACTTGTTTAACTTTAGTCTAGTTTCTGAACAGATATGAGGAGCTGTGAGCTCTGAGGGCTAACAGCTAACAGCTAATGGCTGATGTTTTCTGGTTGAACGTCAGTGACGGCAGGCTAAAATCCTCACCACTGATTGGCTACCACGAGATTGCGTCACGTGAATATGACGCTCGAGTTGAAAAAATTGAACTGAAAAGCGGAATTCGCGTCCACCGCTTCATGCTCGCCGTCGGAGCGAATTCGCGTCTGTCGCGTCTCTGCATTGACTTTACATGTAATCGCGCCGCCCTCAGACATCGCATCGCGTCCGGTGTGAACGCAGCATTATTCTCTCAAATGTAAGGACTAAACAGACTGTTTAACAAGCACACTGCAAGAGCTGCAGCGCTACACTGACTAAGTGATCAGTTCATCAACACATACAGTTATTGACAACTATTTAGATGATTTCTCATGCAAATAAAGGCTGTTTGAGGTTTAACCCTAACCCTAACCCAAGGGTGTTTTATTAAGTCGGTGGAATCATTTCTGCAGCCCGACAACACCTGATCCGAATACTTGTAGATATTTAGTCTTTATTGTTCTAGCCAATATTGCAATTTGGATATAATGTAAACTAATCATGCCTCCCATGTTCATCTGAGCGCTATGATCTTTAACTCTCATGTAAAGAAATGATAACCAAGCCCTTCAAAGTCAAAGCACCGAACGTCTGCGTAAACATCCCTCACGCTCACAGATATTATGGTCTGTGTGATCAGTATTCCCTCCCCGTCCTTCAGAGAGTCTCCGGGCGAAGAGCCAAGGACGGAGACATGTTCTAATGCCGAGGACAAAGTGTGAGACACACTCTGAAGCATCTGCAGAGGACACGCTCACTGAGGATCTGTAATATCATCCAATCAGAGAGCAATCGAGGCATTTTGCAGAAACACAGATTCAAATATGTTTCAAGAAGTTGTTTCATATCCGCCTCGTAGAACACGAACAGGAACACAATCCCAATGGGTTACGTTTCATTTGGTCATTATTTGATGTGTGATGAGTGATCAGTGTGAGTGTGAGTTTCTAAAGACGGTACCTGGTCCAGCTCGTCAGAAATGGCGATGCCTGCAGAGAGGAGAAGATGTTTTAAATCACAGAGAAATATCTGGTTTCCTCTCAGGATTCATAGTGACTTTTACAGAAAGGTCAACGCTTTATAGTTCCTGCATGAAGAAACATCTAGAGGGATAAGAGCCGCACATATTTAGAGAAACATCTAGAGGGGTTACAGCCGCACATATTTAGATTTCCAAACCGTCCCTTTAATGTTAGTAAAACATTGTGACTCACTGCGGGACAGACTCTCCAGAGCTTTGCCCAGCTTCTTGCTCTCCTGCAGGATGTGGTTCAGCTCGTCAAAGTCCCGGCTCTCCCTCCAGTCCCAGGACGGACACTCAATGGACCGCGGCACTACACACACACACACACACACACACACACACACACACACACACACACACACACACACACACACACACACACACACACACACACACACACACACACACACACACACACACACACACACACACACACACACACACACTATATGAGTGATCTACTGTAAACAACAACAATAGAAAGGCCTTTAAACACTGGATGTGTGACAGAACAATGAAGCTAATATGTCCCGGGCTGTAATTGTGACTGGGTTATAGTGGATCTGTGTCAAGGTGGGAAGGAACAACAAAGTCTACCTGGATGCAACCAGAGGTGTGTGTGTGTGTGTGTGTGTGTGTGTGTGTGTGTGTGTGTGTGTGTGTGTGTGTGTGTGTGTGTGTGTGTGTGTGTGTGTGTGTGTGTGTGTGTGTGTGTGTGTGTGTGTGTGTGTGTGTGTGTGTGTGTGTGTGTGTGTGTGTGTGTGTATGTGTGTGTGCTTAAGTAAAACAGGAAGTGACCCACACTGTAGCGACTTCCTGCCTATAGCTTCTGCATAATTTGTCCTAAACTTTTGACTAATCTGAGGTGCAAGCGCTCCATCACAACTGAGTTTAATTTAAAAAAAGAGTCTGATATGCAAAAAGCAGGAATGTAGTACAACATGCAACCAAGTAGTGCTCTGCTGATGTACATGAGAAACATTTTGTGCAATGGTGATCTCAAAACACTTAATTTCTTCCCGCTCTCGTTGTGCATTTTAACAGCTCAGATTAAGAGTTACATATTAAATCTCTGCACATTAAAGCGTTACACTTTATTTATGTAGCACCTTCCATGCTTGACGCAGCCCAAAGTGCATTCACACCGCAGGACTTTCCCTGGTACTTTGGTTCTTTAGTTCCGTTAGTACCAATAATGTCGCGTTCACACCGCCGGGACTACTCAGTGCCGGGAACTCTTTTGGCCATTTTCAGTCCCTGCTAGAGAGGTGGTACGAACCTGGTGATAAAAGAGTAGGGATGGGTATCGTTTGAAATTTATCGATTCCGATTCCGGTTCTGCTTATCAATTCCGGTTCTTATCGATTCCCCGTTTCGATTCCAAAATTGTAAAAGAAAGAGGTCAAACGTTTAGATAACAAAAATATCTTTATTCTTTTCAGCTTTAACTGAAATTGTTACAAATAAAAAATATACATGCAATACAAATGTATTGCACAATAGCTGTGCTTTATTTTAACTGAGCTTTGCCTGTGGCAAGCTATTAGCAGGCATTACACTGTGCCTTGTCTTTTTCTTTCTTAGTGTAGTGGAGCCTCACTTCAGAGCGTTTACCGCGACCCATCTTTGGTGTTATGAAGTGACTGAGCTCGTGAACTGTCTACGGGAGGGCGGGGGGAGCCTCGCTGCGGGGCAACTGTGGACCTCTGTCGCCTGTCAGCGCAACTTACATGATGCCGTTTTAAAAAATTAAGGGCGGTGCCGGCCATCAGTGTACCGAGCCGGCCGTCAACGGCCCGCTGACGACCGGCCGTTCTGTGATTCTCCAGGTCCGCCCTGTATTCCACCGGGTCGCCGCGGTACAGACGGACCCGCTGGAATACAGGATCTACCGCGTTTAGGAACCGTTAAGCAGAACCGAAAAGGTGTATTTTGTACGGGTACCCGGTACCCGGCATTTTCTTATCGGTTCTCATCTGGAACCGAGTTTCGGTTCCCAACCCTATAAAAGAGTGCCAATTTCTATTCTATTTCTATTGGCTGGGCGAATTGCAAACCACGCCCCGTTAGACTCTGATTTTTTTTTGTTACGGCCCGTCCACACAGCGGCGTGCGTTGAAGCTTCCAACGCTTCTGCCCATTCACTTTGAATGGGGTGACGTCACTTTTAGCCGAACTGCATCGTGGGAAGCGACGTGGAGCGTTGCTGGCGTTGCCCGCGGCAAAAGTTGAGCAATGTTCAACTTTTGACGCCTCGGCAGAAGCGTCAGCCAATCGAATCATATGCCAGTACAAGCTCTATCCAATCAAACCGCTGCTTGTGTGTCAGGGGCGGGAGATTCATGTGATTGGTTGTTGGTCGAGTGTCAGACACGCCCGCCGGCAAGCGTCAACGCACGCCACTGTGTGGACGGGCCGTCAGGCAGCCAATTTTTTCCTCGCTACAAAACCACATCCACACATCTATTACCCATAATGCATCGCGGCCACTCTAGTCAATGGCTGCTATTCCACCAGACCCGCTGCACCGCGCTGCGCCGCGGCTCGAAGCGTCCCAGAGGCTCCTCGCCGCAAGGAATTTCTAAAATATAGGATGAATCCTATTGTTTACGCGGCGCAGCGCAGGCAGGAAGTGGAACGTTCATCCAACAGCTGCGAGGCTGCACACACGACGCTCCGCTTCCGCAACGTTTTGAAACGCGCCTGGTGGGTTATGACGCAGGAGGAGGTCGCAGCGCGGCGCAGACGCTTCCGGTGGGATCAGGGGGTAACACACATAAATACAAGTAATTTATCATGTCATTTGTTTTAGATAAATAAGGGAAAAACACCAAACAAGGGTTAATGTCCTTTCCAAAATCAGCCTGAGGGGTTAATATATAATAAATACATAAAGATAAAGTCCATTGTTATAATGGGGTATTTTATTTGTAAATTACCCTTATGAACTCCATCATGTCTGAGGTCGGAAAGTAAACAAACGCCTCATACAGCGGGTGGGCTTTATACCCCCTCCCCCGTGTAGTTCTTCTTCTCTCGTTTTTTTTTGTACTCGCCGTGAAGTGGTTTTGCGGCCTGCCAGTAAACCCAGAGAAGAAGAAGACGAAGTGACGTCAGCGTAATCTTGCCTCAGGGAAAGTACTGCGGTGTGAATGCGATTGGCACTAGCCCCCTGGCGGATTCAGTGCCGTGGTACTTTAGTGACGGCACTAAAGTACGGCAAGTCCTGCGGTGTGAAAGCGGCTATTAACACATTCCATTACATGACATTGCATTTAGCTGACGCTTTTATCCAAAGCGAATTACAATAAGTGCGTTCGACCAACAAAATACAACCTTGAAGAAAACAGAATCATAAAGTACATCAGGTTTCATAGAGCCAAACATTTCAAGTGCTACTCAACTGGCTTTAGATAAGCCAGTCCTTTATTAGTATATAAGTGCTTTGTTAATAGTTCTATCGCTCGAAGTGGAGTCGAAAGAGATGAGTTTTCAGTCTGGAAGGTGTGTCAGCTTTCTGCTGTCCTGATGTCAATGGGAGCTCATTCCACCATCTTGGAGCCAGGATAGCAAACCCACGTGTTTCTGCTGATGGGAACTTGAGGAATGAGGAACATCATTCAAAACAAGGGTATTGTTTGTGAAGTGAATTGAAGTTATTGATCTGACTTGTAATGCACTTCATTTTGTGGATGTTTGTGTACGGTCTTTTCTATTGTCTCTTTGCTAAAACAATGAATAAAGTGTTTAAAAAACTAAAGCAAGGGTAAACAAACAGAACGAGTTATCACTGAACCATGAAACAATAGAACATGAACAGTGACACTGATAAGCCACCGTTTACAGTGTTGTTTGTATTCCAATTGAAGTTGCTGTTCTAAGATCAAATGGGATTTCCACATTGGGGCGAAAACAGAAAGCAGCCTCTCCAGTGTTCTTGTAATGCACTACTTCTAAAAGAGAACTATTGGAGGATCTGAGGGTCCTCGCAGCGATGAAGACTCACGATGAAGACTCACAGTGGAGGTCAGAGTGCTGTTTGTTGCGCTGCTGACACACTAATGATGAGCAGCAGCGCTTTGATTTCAATCTTCCATGAGCTCTGCACAGCATGCTGGATCTCTGACGTCACAGCTCCTCTCGGGTTGTTCTGACACTTCCTGCTCTAACCCGCGTCCTGACTCAAATAGCCTCGTGTGACGGAGCGCTAAGTTAAATTATTAAAGGTCCGAGCCTCTTTGTCTCCTCTTCATCCGAACATCCGAACTGCAGCCAATTCATTACAGAGCTAAAATAAAAGTTCTTCATCTTCTGCAGCTCGTCTTCAGAGTAGAAATAGAGCGGCACTCTGTAATGAACTCATTTGCAGGGCGGCGGACTGAACACTTGAGTTAGATATAATTACATCACATTTAAAATGGAGATTGAACCCAATGGAGCGTGTAATTGTGTCCCCTGGTCTCCTAGCTGTGAGTCAGACCCGGCGTCATGGGCCCCATGGGGCCGGGCCCGCCCATCCAGGATTTGGGCCCGCTGTTTTAATCAGGGCTGAATACCACATTTTTATTGTTTTAATTTATGTTTATTGTTGTTATTTGTAGGGCTTTGTCCTAATATTTATTTTTGTATTAGTTTAATATCGTTTTTTTATTTTGCTATGAAATTCTGAATGAAAGGCTGACTGGTTTTTCGCTGGGTTGAGTCGTGTGGGGTTTTGAGTGAGATGCAGCACAGCAGCCTGTCAGTCAGTTTACTCTTGCTAGGTTAGTGGTTCACGAAAGGAATATGGCAACTCAGCGCCAGATGCAGCACATTAGAAGAAATCAGTTACGTTACCAACGAGCAAGCAAGGGAGGCTGGCAATCAATTATATTTTGAAGAGAAATTGACTCTCAAGCCGGCTCTGTCACAAACTCCTGCTCTGTGAGCAAGCAGACCGCTGCATGATCTCTGCCTCGCTCAATCTCTCTCTCTCTCCCTTTCTCTCCATCGCTCCACCTCACTCCACCTCTCCACCCTGTGTGCGCTCCTCAAGTTTGCCTGCGTGCTTGCTCAAGTTGGCACAGCGTTACAAATGTGCCACAAAACCAACCAATGGATGTATAAGACCGTCAACAGCCTTATGACAACCTAACCCTACCCCCCCCCCCCCCCCCCCCCCCCGTTGACAATTCAGATTTCCTGGGAAATGTAAGTGTCGTGGTGGGCCCGCCCAGAGATGTATGTCTGCCGCCGGGTCTGCTGTGTGCGTCACTCTTTAGTGTCCCCAGGTCTCCAGCTGTGTGCGTCACTCTTTAGTGTCCCCTGGTGCCTCACTCTTTAGTGTCCCCAGGTCTCCAGCTGTGTGCGTCACTCTTTAGTGTCCCCTGGTCTCCCAGCTGTGTGCGTCACTCTTTAGTGTCCCCTGGTCTCCAGCTGTGTGCGGCACTCTTTAGTGTCCCCTGGTCTCCAGCTGTATGCCTCACTCTTTAGTGTCCCCTGGTCTCCCAGCTTTGTGCCTCACTCTTTAGTGTCCCCTGGTCTCCTAGCTGTGTGTGTCACTCTTTAGTGTCCCCTGGTCTCCCAGCTGTGTGCGTCACACTTTAGTGTCCCCTGGTCTCCAGCTGTGTGCGTCACACTTTAGTGTCCCCTGGTCTCCCAGCTGTGTGTGTCACTCTTTAGTGTCCCCTGGTCTCCCAGCTGTGTGCGTCACTCTTTAGTGTCCCCTGGTCTCCCAGCTGTGTGCCTCACTCTTTAGTGTCCCCTGGTCTCCCAGCTGTGTGCGTCACTCTTTAGTGTCCCCTGGTCTCCTAGCTGTGTGCGTCACTCTTTAGTGTCCCCTGGTCTCCCAGCTGTGTGCATCACTCTTTAGTGTCCCCTGGTCTCCCAGCTGTGTGCGTCACTCTTTTAGTGTCCCCTGGTCTCCCAGTTGTGCGTTACTCTTTAGTGTCCCCTGGTCTCCCAGCTGTGTGCGTCACTCTTTAGTGTCCCCTGGTCTCCCAGCTGTGTGCATCACTCTTTAGTGTCCCCTGGTCTCCCAGCTGTGTGTGTCACTCTTTAGTGTCCCCTGGTCTCCCAGCTGTGTGCGTCACTCTTTAGTGTCCCCTGGTCTCCAGCTGTGTGCGTCACTCTTTAGTGTCCCCTGGTCTCCCAGCTGTGGGCGTCACTCTTTAGTGTCCCCTGGTCTCCAGCTGTGTGTCTCTCTTTAGTGTCCCCTGGTCTCCAGCTGTGTGCGTCACTCTTTAGTGTCCCCTGGTCTCCAGCTGTGTGTGTCACTCTTTAGTGTCCCCTGGTCTCCCAGCTGTGTGCCTCACTCTTTAGTGTCCCCTGGTCTCCAGCTATGTGCATCACTCTTTAGTGTCCCCTGGTCTCCCAGCTGTGTGCCTCACTCTTTAGTGTCCCCTGGTCTCCCAGCTGTGTGCGTCACTCTGTAGCGTCCCCTGGTCTCCCAGCTGTGTGCCTCACTCTTTAGTGTCCCCTGGTCTCCCAGCTGTGTGCGTCACTCTTTAGTGTCCCCTGGTCTCCAGCTATGTGCCTCACTCTTTAGTGTCCCCTGGTCTCCCAGCTGTGTGCCTCACTCTTTAGTGTCCCCTGGTCTCCCAGCTGTGTGCGTCACTCTTTAGTGTCCCCTGGTCTCCAGCTATGTGCATCACTCTTTAGTGTCCCCTGGTCTCCCAGCTGTGTGCCTCACTCTTTAGTGTCCCCTGGTCTCCCAGCTGTGCGTTACTCTTTAGTGTCCCCTGGTCTCCCAGCTGTGTGCATCACTCTTTAGTGTCCCCTGGTCTCCCAGCTATGTGCCTCACTCTTTAGTGTCCCCCGCTGCACATGTCTCCTCAAATTGCTGAATGTTCTCTAAACGCTGCAGGTGTTGTCAAGTTGCTGAAGATGTTTCTTCATGTGGAACCTTTGGGGTTTTATATCTGCATCCTTTCTGAAGCTGCAGCACGTTGTGTCCTCATGGAAGTGATTTGGGCTGTTTGTCGGAGCCCGTAAACCCCAGATGAAACAAACATCCAGTAAATGTAAACCTAAGCTGAGAATAACAAAGAAACTCACAGGACTTGGACTCGGGGGAGGGGGGGGAGATGCTGGACACAGCGAGGTCACTCTTGGACTTTTTGGGTTTCTTTGGATGGATTTGCCACGGCTTCTCGTAGCCGCCGCTGCTATCCCTGCGAGGGTTTTTGCTTTCTGTCGGGAGAGAGATGGAAACAATTACTGCTCAGACTGTCCAGTTATGCAAATCTCTGGAAAAACACAG